GCAAAAAGGAAAATAAAGTAAGCAAAAGGTTTGTTAGGAATTTCGCGCCAAGCTACACGAGGGCTATCTGCGCTAGCCGTCCCTAATTTAGCAGTGTAAGACTAGAGGGAAGGCAGCTCGTCATCACCACCCACCGCCAACTCTTGGGCTACTCTTTTACCAACGAATAGTGGGATTGACCGTCACATTATAACGCCCCTACGGCTGAAAAGGCGAGCATGTTTGGTGTGACAGGGATTCGAACCCGCGACCTTCAGATTGCAAGTCGAGTGCCCTAACCACCTGGCCATGCCGGGCCTATGATCTATGAAAATGACATATTATTGACGTTGGAACAATTTTTGTAGTGATGGAGCTGAAAACATGTTTATGATTGGCACCCTCAGCGCCCGTAGTCCCCGCATCCCTGGACTGATAGAAAATATTGACCAATTATTTATAGTTATATACAAGTATCCCTCGATTTACGAATGTTCGGTTTACGTTTTTTTCGCTATAACGGGCATATAACTTTTATGGGCATGTTTTTCGATTTGCGTTTAGCATTTTTCGCTATAACGAAAACTTACGTCAAAGTCGTGAGAAAATTTTTCTCTCCGAAGATCTCCAGTATTCGCCATGGCCTCTCCTTCCTTCCATTACCTCAACAAGCAAATAGCCTCTCCTTCCTTCCATTACCTCGACAAGCAAATGGCCTCTCCTTCCTTCCATTAACTCGACAAACAAATGGCCTCTCCTTTCTTCCATTAACTCGACAAGCAAATGGCTTCTCCTTCCTTCCATTAACTCGACAAGCAAATGGCCTCTCCTTCCTTTCATTACCTCGACAAGCAAATGGCCTCTCCTTCCTTCCTATCACCTCGACAAGCAAATGGCATCTCCTCCTTCCATTAACTCGACAAGCAAATGGCCTCTCCTTCCTCCTATCACCTCGACAAGCAAATGGCCTCTCTTTCCTTCGATTACCTTGACAAGCAAATGGCCTCTCCTTCCTCTTATCACCTCGACAAGCAAATAGCATCTCCTTCCTTCCATTAACTCGACAAGCAAATGGCCTCTCTCTCTCTTTCCTTCGATTACCTCGACAAGCAAATGGCCTCTCCTTCCTTCCATTACCTCGAGAAGCAAACCAACAACTACTTCTTGCTCAGTACATTACACTACGTTTTGTATTTTATTATTGAAAATGTATTTTTTTATTGCAGATGTTTGTTTGTGTTAATTGTAACAATATTTTGCTTACGTTATAGTGAAAAATTAGTATGGCCAAAAATTTTAGGTCAGGAACGCATCCCCTAATTTTTACCTTTAAAATAATGGAAAAGGCGTTTTCGATTTACGTTTTTTTTTTCGTCATACATTACGTTCTCAAAGAACGCACTCCTTTCGTAAATCGAGAGATACCTGTGTTATAATACGTGATCGACGAATGCCCAGGTGTAGTGTTTCTAGAGCCATGAATAACAAAAGCCTAAAATTTTGTAAAAAAAAAAAGGAAGAGATGAACTATGTAAGTGAGTTTGTAAGAGTATGGAAATCTTAATAACCGTACTTGTGTAGTTTGTGACGTATTGCTCTAGACTTCTGATAATATACAGGGTAAAAATCATAAATAATATTCAACGTTAATCTGGTACACAATTAAAAATATTTTATTTAAGCCTGTCTATGGCCTTCAAAAAGTTGATGACTCTACATGTTTCGATGTTACAACGTCATCCTAAGGAGTTGTTACGTTGAAACATGTAAAGTCGTCAACTGTTTGAAAGCCATAGATAGGCCTAAATAAAACGTTTTTAATTGTGTACCAGTTAAAGTTGAATATTATTTATGATTTTAATTTTATACACAAGTGCCAAAATACTATAATTAATATACAGGGTAGTTCAAAATTTTCTTCCCTATTTTAGAATTTAACAATTAAATATCTAAATAAATAAAACCATGCAGTTTTCAACATCTTGTAGCCAAACTCAAACAGATTATATTTTCATGTTTTATATTTTTCACTCCAGCGAGTAGTGTTACAACGTAAAATGACAACCATGCAAGAAACGGCTTGCAGGGTGGGCCAATTCCGTGGCTTCCATATTCGCCAGATATCACTACACTAGACTTATTTCTTTAGGGGTATGTTGCGGACATCGTGTATCGCACAACTATAGCAAACATCAAGGAGCTAAATACTAGGATAACGGATGTTGCAGTGAACGTGGACTGAAATCGAATATCGGTTAGACGTGCTGAGAGCCACGAATGATGCACACGTAGAAGTCTAATGACATGTCAATAAAAACTGTTTGAGCTTGGCTACAAGTTGTTGAAAACTGCATGGTTGTATTTATTTAGTTATTTAATTATTAAATTTTGAAATAGGAAAGATAATTCTGGGCCACCCTGTAAATAATCTTAACGAGTTAGGCGTTTACTTTAGCGTTAAGTTCGGTTCATGTGACTCAAAGAATCTTTACTTGGGAAAGAAAGTAGTCTTAATAGAGTTGTAACTATTTTAAGATAAATTATTTGTTTTAATACCTGGAAATAAACTGATACAAGTTATTTACAACTCTCCTCAAAATATTTTTTTCTCTCTCAATAAGTCTGTAAGTCATCTATCAGCAGAGGTGTAGGTGGGTGGAAATGCTTTATCGCCATTACTTTAATGAATCCCACCTTACACTGTTATGCAGTAGATTTTGCATTTCGACACTTCCTAATTTAGCATTGCAGCACTGTCTCTCAGTCCTGAAATAATTCAGTGCATAACAATTTGATATCAGAGTTGACTGTTCAAAATAAATAAATTAAGAGCGTTTTAAAGACTTTTAAACAAAATGAAAAGAAAGAAAACTACGTCAGTGAAGTTAAATTAATGACGGAAAGACCTATATCGTGCTTGCATCAAAAATACGTAGTGATGGATTTTAAAAACTGGCGGGAAGTGGTTCAGGTTGACTCAAACAATGGCTCAAATAATGAAGATAATTATACACCACATTTTAACACACAACTACCGGTAGACGCAGATACTTTAAGAT